ATATATATAATTATGCACTTATATATATATATACAACTCTTTATATGTATATCTGATTATATATATATATGTGTGTGTGTGTGTGTGTGTGTTGTGTGTGTGTGTGTTTTGGATTATCTATATTAATTTATATATATGTCTGATTATATCTATATATCTATCTATCTATCTATCTATCTATATATATATATATATATATATATATATATATATATATATATATATAATCAACACATTTATATAAGAAATATATATATATATATATATGATTAAGTAAATTACAGACATTATGACTGCTTATTTTTAGCATAATCCGTTCATATTCATGGATATTTTTTCATGTATTATAATCAAATTATGCAAGAAATACACTGTAACAGTGAAATTAAAACGTGAAAAAAATATCCATTATCTGTGTGTGTGTGTGTGTGTGTGTGTGTGTGTGTGTGTGTGTGTGTGTGTTGTTGTTGTTGTTGTTGTTGTTTTTGCCCCATGACCGTTTCATCCTTTTTTAAATATCTTCATGCATCAAATGTCGAAATTATTTAGTCAACAGACAATCTATATTCAAATTATCGCCGGAAAAGTTTTACGTATTATTTTCATTTGAGAGCTCTGAACGAAAATTGGTTTGAAACATACATACTCTTTGGATTTATTACGGAAAAGATACAATTTATTTAAAATCGCATGTGACTATTATATATATATATATATATATATATATATATATATATATATATATAATTTAAATAAAAACAGACCACTTTTAGGTTCCATGTAATAAATTATTTCACCAGAGCCCTTTCAAAAGGACTGCGGATAATCAGACTTTACTTACTTGTTTGGAAGAAATCTGATGATCCGCAGTCCTTTTGAAAGGGCTGTGGTGAAATAATTTATTACATGGAACCTTAAAGTGGTCTGTTTTTATTTAAATTATTTGCTCTGGATTTACATTGAGCTCTCTTGATTTTATCCTCCTTAGGTTTACTCATACGGATTACCTAGTTTTTCATAAACTATATATATATATATATATATATATATATATATATAAATCACCTGCTACCGTGGTATAAGTAACTTTGAAACAATCGTCTCAACCATCTGAGAGAATTAAGAATTAACACTAAATCTCGGGTTAATACATCAACCCATATGACGGCCAACCCTTCAGTATGACCTTCGTGTGGATTTGTATGCAAATCCCATCCAGGATTGTTGTCTCATACGAGACATAAACATAATATACTGAACTGAACAACACTTATACGTCAAAAACGACGGGAGAGTCCATCAATATATATATTATTAATAATGAATACAGAATCCCTAAAAACCCATTCGGTCAGGTAACTTCAAATGTCCATCTGTTCAGACCAGTTTTACAAAAATAAATGGAGTTCAATTTATTCAGACACAATGAAAACAAAAAGGAACAAAAAAAGGAAAGAGAAAAAGGAAAAAGTTTTAATATTAAAAGGGGGAAATAAAAAAGGGGGAGAAATACAGAGATTTGAAAGAGAGAATGGGAAGGGAGAAGAGGAAAGAGAATGCGAGAGAGAGAGAGAGAAAGAATGGTTAATCCCTTTCTTTCTCTCTCTCATTCTCTTTCCTCTTCTCCCTCCCCATCTCTCTTTCTCTTCTCAATATAAGAAACCTTATATTGAAATATTTAAATCGACAGGGTAACCCAGAAAATATTTTTCCTTCTGTGTCTTGACGAGTTAAAAAATAGTGTGGTAGGGAGGGAGTGATCATATTCAAAATAGATACATTGTAATTGTCTACACATTTTAAGCAGCGAAACCATCATCATCGCATTATAACCGTTAAAATTGCAAACTGAAAATAATAATAATAATATTAAAATATTTGACATCAAAATAAAGAAATAACATCAATGTTACAAAATGGGATTCTTTAAAAAAATGTAAAACTAAAGAAAAAAAACTCCAAAAATTAAATTAATAAAAAGATAAGTAAAGGACCATTTTAAGTAACTAAAAACTTAAAAATCCAATGTTTTAAATATATAGTACTCAGCTGCGATTTTAAATAAATTGTCTCGGATCTATCTATCTATCTATCTATCTATCTATCTATCTATCTATCTATCCCATTCTCTTCATCTATCTATCTATCTATCTATCTATCTATCTATCTATCTATCTATCTATCTATATCTCATTCTCTTCATCTATCTATCTATCTATCTATCTATCTATCTATCTATCTATCTATCCCATTCTCTTTATCTATCTATCTATCTATCTCATTCTCTTCATCTATCTATCTATCTATCTATCTATCTATCTATCTATCTATCTATAGTGAAAACTGTAAATTTACTCTAAATAAATATTATCAAAGACTTCAGTTGCATTTTCAACTTTTTCCTATATATACAGGGTGCGAGTGCCATTTGAGGACACTTTTCTTATGTTAAATAAACAGCAATATCTTAGCGAACAATGTATATATTTAATTCAAATTGACACAAATATCCTTCATGATACTTCTTTATCTAATTATTCTATGAAACCACCTTTGGCTTCAATGACTGCTTCTATTCGGGCTCGAAACCGTCCATAAGCTGCAATTTAGTGGTCCCTATTCATTTTGGACATCACCTGGACAATGGCGGCCTTCAGTGCAGCTATGGTAATATGAGGATGTCGCTTAGTCTCCCTTTCAACGACGTTCCACACGTAATAATCGATAGGATTTAAATCTGGCGATTTAGGGGCCCATGATGGGGGTCACATTATCGTAAAAATTCTTTGATAACCAATCCTGGGTAACAATGGCTTTGTGAAATGTGCAGAGTCTTGTTGAAAGACATGTGGCCTTCCATTGCATACTTTATTCATTCAGGCCTTAACAACCATTTTAAGAACATTAATATATCCAGCAGCATTAACCCTAAGACCTTGTGGGAAAATGTAAGGTAGCATGACATGACCTTCACTGCTCACAACTCCTAAAACTATCACAATAGCCGGATATTTGATGTGCATCACCCTGGGTACTTCAGAAGGAAATGTACATAGCCACCTATCATTCCGTCTGTTTGTTTTCTGATCTTGGTCAAAGTTTTTTTTCATCAGAGAAAAACCAAAGCATGCCATGTTTGTGGGGATTTTTCACTTTGTACAGCAACCATTTTGAATGCATGAGACGGTTTTCCTGTGTCTTCACCGATATGAATTCGCCTTTCCTCATTACATATGACTTATATCGAATGTCCTGATGTACCACGCTTCTGATAGTCCATTCTGATACTTGGAGTTCTTTGGCGATGGACCTCATTGATCTTCCGGGGTTCTCATCGATGATGTTTTGAACATTCCGTATAAATTCTGGTGTTCTCACGGTTATCAGTACGCTGTGAATGCTTTTTTTCCTTTTGCTACAGGGGAAACATTGCCATCACATCCCTCTAGCTCCAACCGAACCTTATGAAGAAATAATCTGGCAACATGTAAAGGGTTACTGATTTTTTAATCCCTATGTTTTGTAGCAAAAGCAACAATGACTGCATGTCTTTTTTATTTCTTGGTTTAACATCTTCCTCTGACTGGGTTATCTGAAATAAAAAAAAAAAATATAAATGATTTGAGTGTGTAGTGAACTTAAAACAATATGTCCTCAAATCGCACCCTGTATATATATATATATATATATATATATATATATATATATATATATATATATATATATATATATATATATAAAGTGTCTTTTGAAGAGGCGACAGACTGTTTCATGCTGGCCCATTGCATCCAGCATGAAACAGCCTGTCGCCTCTGGAGTGTTGATTTCAATGTTTACTTTTATATTTACATACCCTCTGTACCATTAACGGCATTCACGCGGGGTGGGTTGAGCCGGCTCCAATATTAGAGTTTCATGGGAATTTGGAATTCACAAGTGGTCCCCAACCCACATGTATAGCACATGAGATTTGATTATAGTGGTGAAGGTTTCGTGCAGGACCATCCACACTTTTTGAAGGGCTGATTACAGAGACCTGGTGCACTACGTGCTACAAGGTCCCTAAACGACCCTCCACAAGTTTTGAATTCAGAGTTATTCTTCTCCTAGACCAATTGCCATCCAAGGCTATAGAACACAGTCTATCCTGCTATTTACCCATAGATGGAGGGAGAAGAAGAGGATTCACAACTTTCCCAAGGGTGTTAGCCGGATATTGAGCACTTTATCCCATAAATATAGCACACCTTAAAACTATATTTCTTCATATATATTGACATTTTTTTCTATTCTGAAAGTTATTTTAGCAAATGAAGCCCTTTATAGGACTGATTTCGATAAATCCTCACCACTGTGCAAAGGTTTAATGAAAAGTAATTTTTGTTTCTTTTATAAAACTAGAGGTGGTAGATAGATAGGTGACAAAATACTTGTAAAAAAGAGGTCGAGATTCAAAACTTCGTGAAGCTCTGTTTTACGCCAGTTTTCCTTGCTCCACTTTCGTCTATTTCGGCTGTATATCGTATAAAGTTACACTTGAATATATGAAATGCTGAGATATATACGTGTACGATGGTTAAATTGTTGCCATTTTATATTTTTCATTTCGCGCATGCGCGTTGTTTGTTTTTGATTTTGTCGACTGCACGGTATAGTAGGGTCAGTTGGGCACCGTCTGTGACAAAAAGATCGCCATGACGCAATTGATTCCACCAGGAATTTGGAAACGGCATACTGTACTGCTGTATTGGCTCCAATGCGAACAATTCAGAGTGTTTTGGCGTCAATCTGAGGCAGACGATTTAGAACTCGGCTCTCCGATTGACAATTCTGTGTCATTATCCATTACACCACCCGCACAGACAAACAACGCCTGCTTCGCTAAAGTGGTCACCTATCTAGATACACACCAAGCTCGACGTTTGTAACCTTTGGTGATTATACGAGAAGCGATGTTTCAACGTGATAAGGCCATCAACCATACAAACCGCACTTCCAAGATTACAGTACCTGGTATTCCCAAGAAGTCACCCATCCAGGTACTGACATGGCTTGACGTTGCTTAACTTAGGTGATCTTACGAGTATAACTAATAAAACTAATACAGGTAATGGTTGATACTTAGGGTATTACAGTACCTGGTATTCCCAAGAAGTCACCCATCTAGGTACTGACATGGCTTGACGTTGCTTAACTTAGATGATCGTACGAGTATAACTAATAAAACTAATGGTTGATACTTAGGGTACCCCACCGTAAATATGTCGGCAACTTGCACTGGCATCGTTAGTGGATTTCTACTCTTCCACGAACCCCTATTTAAATACAAGATTATGATAATCCTGGCCGAAAATAAAAGACTTGTTTTTACAACAAACAGGAAAGAAAGACGAAAACACGATCCAGCCAGACTGATGGGTTGTCTGCCCTTGTTTGTTTTCCATCCATGTTTTGATAGGTTTACATTATGCTATGTTTTGTCCTTTTAATGTTAATGTTATGTTGTCTTTTAACGTTATATTATGTGTTTTGCTTATTGCATCTCAGGGACCCCGTTTGTACTAGGTTCGATTTCGGCTCAGGTTAGGGTCGGGAACTGCTTTAGAGTGGTAGCGAAAGAAATGGGAAGTCCAAGAGGGTGGGAACGACCATCCTGCGTAGCGGTATGAAAATCAACATTCGTAACATGGCGCCACTCTGATAACGCCATCTGGTGGTGTTAAATGGAAACAAAGACAAAACGGTGACATCCGGTTTGGAAGACGAGAGGCGAAATCGAGATGCCGCGTAAACATTACATTTAACAAACCCTTCGTATCTTCATCGCATAACAAGGAATCCTCATGTCTTCTTCTTCTTCTTCTTCTTCTTCTTCTTCTTCTTCTTCTTCTTCTTCTTCTTCTTTTCATTGCCTTCTCATTCTCATGTACCCTTTTTTCCTCCTCCTTTTTCTTCTTCCTCTTCATCATCATCATCATCTTTTTCTTCTTCATTTGCCCATTGCTTTCTCATTCTCGGGCACCTCTCTTTCCCTTCTTCTTCTTCTTCTTATTCATCATCATCATCATCATCTTCTTCTTCTCCTTCTTCTTCTTCTTTCCATGGCTTTCTCATTCTCATGCTCCTCCTTTTTTCTTCTTTCTTTCTTCTTCTGCCCATTGCTTTACCAGTCTCATCCTCCTCTTTTTTCTTTCTTTCCTCATCATCATCTTCTTCTTCTTCTTCTTCTTCTTCTTCTTCTTCTTCTTCTTCTTCTTCTTCTTCTTCGCTGCAGGGATATTTCCTATTTACTTATTCATTTTTATCTTCTTTTTGCGCTATATTTTTTATCATCTTTCAGCTCCCATACTATTTTTCTTTTCTTAGTGTCTCTTGTTTGCTTTCTTTCTTTCATTCTTTCTTTCTGTCTCTCTCTCTTTCTTTTTTCGTACTTTCTTACTTTGTTTCTTTTTTGTTTCTTTGTTTCTTTCTTACTTTCTTTTTTACTTTCTTTCTTTCTTTGTTTCTTTCTTACTTTCTTTCTTTCTTTTTATCTTACATCCTTTCTTTCTCTTTCTTTATTTCTTTCTTTTATTCGCTTTCTTCTTCTTAACGTAGAGATATTTTTCTTTCCAGTTTTCTTTGTTCTTTAACTTCTCTCGTTTTCGTTCATGTCCTTTTCCACTTCCACTTAGTCATCTTTGTTTTTTGTTTTCATTCGCGTTTTCGGCTCCTTCCTGTTTCTTCTTCTTCTTCTTCTTCTTCTTCTTCTTCTTCTTCTTCTTCTACGTGCCGTGCCTCTTCAGGACACGGGAAATCATGGTTCTCGAAAATTCTCTCCCCTTTGTAGCTCTTTGTAAATGTTACATTTTCGCTATCACTTCGAATAACAGAATGGCCGAAAGCGTTTCGATTTATAGAATATTCGAATAGTTTTTATATATTTTTTGTCCAGAAAAGGAAACACTTTCACGAACACACACACACACACACACAAAATGAATAAAAAGTTTAATCGCAGTCGTTTTTAATGAAAGTTATATATATATATATATATATATGTGTGTGTGTGTGTGTGTGTGTGTGTGTGTGTGCGTGTGCGTGTGCTAGGATTTTTTTTAATCCTCACGAATTCTCGGATCTAATTCTCTTTTCTCTTGATATTAAATTCATTAAGGAAGGCGCCGTAGCTTTTTTCATTTCTTTTATTTTTCCCAAGTTTATTTTCTGGAATATATATATATATATATATATATATATATATATATATATGATTGATTCTCCGTCGAGTTCAACGTATGAGGTTCCGATGACCACGAACTAATTATCTGCATGCCTATGACGGCCATGACTTTTGGGACCGACTCGAGAATTGCACAAAAGACCACAAACAGTACTGGAGAAAGTATTGTATCCAAGTGCTGCAGGAACACGGTCAGCTCTTTTATTTTGTAGTCGACTGGTGGTTACTTCTTAGTGCAGCTATATCAATGTTGTACTTTAGCTCCAATGCGACCAGAGACGTTTTTCTTTCTGGTGCAGAATCCTGGAGAGTTCGTACATTCCAAGTGCCAAGATGAAGTTGATCTTGTTTCGTAGAGTTTTTCGCAGTAGCCAGATATGTGTGGAACTAATTAGATGTAGTTGTCAGAAGACCAACACAATGATTTGTTCCAAGTGGTGAAGGCTTGTGTCGGATCATCCATACTTTTTGGATCTGTCTATAAAAAATAACGGTGCAAAAGACTTGCCACGGAAACTCCGAACAACAGTCCTCATGTTTTATTAGCCTCTCCGGAATATATATATATATATATATATATATATATATATATATATATATATATATATATATATATATATAGAGAGGAGGCACAGTGGAGTAATGGATAGCGGCTTGGATTGAGGAATCGGATTCCAGTCGAATCCATTACATTCACTTACGTGCTAATACCCTTGGGAAAGGTTTGAATCCTCTTCTTCTCCCTCCAGCTATGGGTAAATAGCAGGACAGACTGGGTTCTATAGTCTTGGATGGCAACTGGTCTAGGAGAAGGACAACTTTGAATTCAAAACCTGCGGAGGGTCGTTTGGGGACTTTGTGGCACTTAGTGCACCAGGTCTCTGTATTCGGCCCTTCAAAAAGAGTGGATGGTCCTGCACGAAACCTTCACCTCTATAATCAAATCTCATGTGTTGTTGTCGGGCTGTCGGTTTCCTAGGAACTGATCTGCTTGACCATCATACGTCGAATTCGACGAGAGAGTCGACTATATATATATATATATATATATATATATATATATATATATATATGTTATTAATAAATAAAATTCATTGGAATATTTTCAAGAAGGCTAAATAATAAATTAAACTAATGCAACTAATTATTTACTTTAGATGTCTTCTTTGTACCGTGTTTCTTCACGACGTGTGAGATTATATCTTTCCAAAATTCTCAGCCCTTTGTAGTACTTAGTAAATTTTTATCTTTTCTCTATCACTCGTCATCCCTGTTCGGTTGACCATACACACAAGTTCGTTAGGTAGATTAGGCGTTGTTTTTCTCTGTCCCTTTTGCCTTCAATATCCCCTGTGAGTGTCAGATTTTCTAAGCCCTCTTTCCTCATTCTGTGCCCTCGAAATGAAAACTGCCTCTTTCTGATGTTAAGTATAAATGTCCTTTTTTTTGTTTTCATTTTCCCTAAATCTTCATTATAGCTCACACGTTTCGTCCATCAATTGCCATCTTCTTTTCCTCTTCAACTTGTTTCTTCTTCTTCTTCTTCTTCTTCTTCTTCTTCTTCTTCTTCTTCTTCTTCTTCTTCCCTGTATTTTTATCTTACTCTTACTGTCCTCATTGCTTCACTTTTCTATTTCATCTACATATTTTCCTTTTCTTTTTCAACATCATCCCTCTTTTTCAAATGTCTCCCCTTGATTATCTTTCGTCTTCTTTCTTTCTTTCTTTCTTTCTTTCTTTCTTTCTTTCTTTTTATCGATTGGTTAATTTTTTATTTTCTCTTTGATGTATCTCCGTTCTACGCTATCTTGTTTCTTCTTCTTCTTCTTCTTCTTCTTCTTCTTCTTCTTCCGATTACTACTTTATTTTCTCTTTCTTTCTTTCTCTCTTTCTTTTTTTCTTTCTTTCTTTCTTTCTTTCTACCGACTGGTCATATTTTTATTTTCCCTTTGTAACTTCATTCTCTGCTAGCTTGGTTTCTCTTCTTCTCCTTCTTCTTCTTCCGACTCACTACTTTATTTCCTCTTTCTTTCTTTTTTTTTCTTTCTTTCTTTCTTTTTTTTCTTTCTTTCTTTCTTTCTTTCTTTCTTTCTTTCTACCGACTGGTCATTTTTTTTTACTTTCCCTTTGTAATTTCATTCTTTGCTAGCTTGGTTCCTCTTCTTCTTCTTCTTCTTCTACTTCTTCTTCTTCCGACTCACTACTTTATTTCCTCTTTCTTTCTTTCTTTCTTTCTTTCTTTCTTTCTACCGACTGGTCATTTTTTTTATTTTCTCTTTGATGTATCTCCGTTCTACGCTATCTTGTTTCTTCTTCTTCTTCTTCCGACTCACTACTTTATTTCCTCTTTCTTTCTTTTTTTTCTTTCTTTCTTTTTTTCTTTCTTTCTTTCTTTCTACCGACTGGTCATTTTTTTTAACTTTCCCTTTGTAATTTCATTCTTTGCTAGCTTGGTTCCTCTTCTTCTTCTTCTTCTTCTTCTTCTTCTTCCGACTCACTACTTTATTTCCTCTTTCTTTCTTTCTTTCTTTCTTTCTTTCTTTCTTTCTTTCTTTCTACCGACTGGTCATTTTTTTTACTTTCCCTTTGTAATTTCATTCTTTGCTATCTTGGTTTTTCTTCTTCTTCTTCTTCTACTTCTTCTTCTTCTTCTTCTTCTTCTTCTTCTTCTTCTTCTTTACTTCACACCAGCTGGATATGTCTTTCTTTCTTTCTTTCTTTCTATTTTTTGTTTTTCTCTCGCAATTTTCTTCTTCTCTTTCCGCATTTTATTAATATTATCAATGTCCTTATTTTTTAAATTAAACACCATTTCTTAGGCAAGTATCATATACTAATTGTGCTTGTCCCTCCTTTCGTAAG